ACACACAGACACAGACACAGGCTCACGGGTTAGGGTCATAGATGGACGGGGTGGCAGGGCAAGGGTTAATGGTCCAGCTGCAGGGAAAAAGTTGATATACTTTCATTTGCCATTGCGATGGAGTGTTTATCGATGGTTAAATTATAAGTGCGGAGGCTAAACCGACATAAATTAGCCCGACAGCGGGCGGAGGTTTGGCTTGGGGTTAGGGGTCAGGGCAAGGGCAAACTGACTAGGGACTAGGTTCTTCTCTCTAGCTAGCAGTTGGAATTCTTATTAATGCTAATTTAAAGTTAAAATACCAACTAAAACGATCCATCAGCAGATGATGATCTCTGCTATCAGTTAAATGACTTAAAACCTGCATTGGATTTTGCCCGAGAACCCCCTTGTGTGTGTTGCCCACTGTGTCAAAATTCGGACTCGACACTTGTGGAACGAGTGGGTGGTAAATGTAGCACGAGTGGGAGGCCGTGGGTGGTGCAGGGCGGGCACGTACACATGAGCAGCAGCGACAGGTGGGAAAAGAAGAAGGGAAGCGAAAAAAAGGGAACGAAATTTGGTCTCGTACGCTCTGCAATTGCAGTTTACCTTCTGATACATATTTTGTGCATTGGCTTTAGTTGCCGCTTGCCACTCGTCGCTCGGCTCTGTGCTGCTCTGTTTGCCACACCTCCGCTGCCCCACTGCCCCACTGTTCCACGGTATCATTTGAAGGCCCCCTCTGCCTCTGCCTCTGCCTCTGCCTCGCGACGCCACTGCTGGTGCTGGTCTTGCATCCCTGTTGCTCTTTATTGCTGCTTACATATATTTAACAATTTCGTATGCTCGTGTCTGTTGTGTTTGCTGTTTGTATCCGTTGTGTCCGTTGTATCCTTTCTTCCTTCTACAAACTCCGCCCCTGCTTGCTCCTTTTTTTCGGGGGCTTATGGCCGTTCTGCCTTTTGGCTCTGCTTTTGTGCTTTTGCTTTCTGTTCTGTTCTGTTCGGTTCTGTTCTGTTTTCTCTGTTTGCTGTCAGTAGGTAAAAATTCCAATAAATAATTGAAATGGCTGTTTGTTATGGCCCCTCCAAGCCCGGTCCCCTGCCCTTTGAGTACCCCCCAAAACGCACGTCCATGTACATTCGCCTTTTGGCCGTCTGATGTTTTTATATATCTTTTGTGATGCATCTAGAAAGGATCGGGGATATGCGATTGGCATTTTTATTATCCTTGCACCCCAAAAATGCATAGCAAAAATGATGTAGAAATTGCAATTACCGTCTTTCTTCTTGTTGCTTTATTAATACATAACCCCCCTCCCCTCCCCTGCTATTGATTTTAATTTGACAAGAATGTAATGGCCAGCCAGCACTTCAGCAACTCCTTTCCAGTAGCCCTGCCTTCTGAGCTGGGGACACAATGGTTTATGGGCTTCAAGGAGGAGCTGTGCCACGTGATTTATCTGCTGGCCAAGAAAGCAAACCGAACCGAAAACGACAACAGTTTTGATAGTCATGACCCCAAAAATGTTCTTACAGCGGGTAAAAAATGAAGAGCCATAAAATCGGGCTAGTTTGCCCACCAACTTGCCCCCAAACCCAAATGAGTGCGTTTTTAGTGCATCAGTTTGGCGCAATGATAAGTCGAAATGAAGCGAATGCATCTCACAAGGAAGGGGCAGCAAGGGGCTGCATGGGACTGAAAAGAGCTAAAAGGGGTCCAACCGGCAAACGGAAAGCCAACTCGCTGATTTATGAAACCATAGCGAAAGTTTTGCCCCGAGTCTTGCAGTTTAGCGCCTGTCAAGTGATAAACTGCAATGACTTTAAAGTTGCGGCGCCGCGGGCTGCGATTCGCTAGTTAGATTGTATTTGATGGCCGTTGGAGCCATCCAACTACCTCCTATAATTGCAGCTGCAGAAGGGTGGTGAGCTTTAGAGGTCACATCGGAGAGGCAGGATGGAAATCATAAGATTTCACTTCACAAAGAATCAATGAAAAACACTGAAGCCGAGATCACTTTTGTGTTCAGATTATAGTAAATAAATCCATAAAACTCCTGAGTCAGACTTCCCTTTATGAACTTTCTCTAAAGTAAGCGAAATGTAATGGCCACCACTCTGAGATGGTGGCCAAAAGTGCAAATAATTTACAAGCCATTAAGGAGCGTCCAGCTCGTCAGCGATTCCCCGACCTCACAGTAAACATTCAAAGTGCTTGGCACTTTGAAGCTGCTGAGATCGTTTCAAAAGATGACCTCGAACCGGTGACCCCGAACCGCAAGCAACTTGCCCAACTAGGAAATCTCATTAATTTAGTCATCTAACTGCTTTGTGGTGCAAATGAGGCGGCACAGCGCAAAGTTCACGTATTCCCGCGGGGACCTCTCCTAGGGCCATCCTATCACTAAAAGCACTGCAAGAAATATAACATTACTTAAGTTTATTGTTAAATGATAAATCAGTAAACATCTTAAGTTAAAATGTTAGCCATGTTCATATGTTCCTGAGATTACGAAAAGGCAAGACCGACCTCTCTTCTCTTAACCAAGGACCTTAATAGCTCCCATTTGAACTCCGGGAATCTGAAACCGAGTTCGCGTGAGTGTCCCTATTCCTACTTCTTGATCTATATAGTTAATTTGAGTCTACTTTCTCGGTTTTTCCTAACTGGAAGTCTCTATTAGTCGCTGATAGTCTGATACTTATAAAATATGTATGAAATGGACTTGGGGAGAGTTCTTGTGGAAGCGTGGGAGTGGTCCAGGCCCAGGACTCTTAGACTGCTGGCATCTGGGCTCTTCCAGGTTCAATGTCCTCCCACTTTTGCGGTGCGGGATACGTGACAGGTGAGACCAGAGCAGAATCCTCTGCGGGCACCCCGTTCCACGTGAGTGCACATTTCCGTGGCCCGTTTATGGAGGCCGCTGTCAAATTAATTGGCTTTTCCCGCTTCGACTTGGACGTGCACTTGGTCTTAGTTATACTTCTGTTTCCATAGTCTAACGTCTGGCCTGCGGTCGACTTCTGGGACTTTTTGGCTGACAACTCATTTCCTAGAAAGTTACGGTCTTCGATTTGGCCGGATGCCGGCTAGTCGACCGAATTGGGGACCTTGTCGGACACGCTTTTTAGTGGCCTGACCGTTTTTTTAACTGGCCCAGCAAATTTGGGCCACCAGAACGTACTTTGATCGCAGGACTCGTGGAAGGACCATCTATCCATGTCCAAGTCTTGAGTGCTGCCAAGTCCTTGAGTTGTTTTTAGCCTGCCTCCAGCCACGTTTTGATTGCCCCTTTCTGCAAGGGGGGGACATTGGGGGGAAACAATGCTTGCCGGCATCGTCGAGTAAGCAAAACTTTTTGAGTACCTTCTTTGAATACACGACTGAGTTTTGCTCATTGGAAGTGAGTTATCCGTATCAAATAACGAGTAAAGCTCATTACGAGTTCCAAACAGCTCACTCACTTTGAATTTGAGCCCGTCCCAAAGTTTCCCCTCACTATTTCGGACATAAAAATAATGGGAAAATCCGAGTGAGTAATAGAGCCTAACTCTGCGTCCGGCAGCTTAAAGAACTTTAAAACCCAATAACCCAACCATTTTATCGAGCTAAATCGAGTCATGGCCAACGGTTATTTTAGACAAAAGTTCTGCTGTGATTTATTCTGTGTGGTGACCACACTTAGTCTTAACCAGTAATCTCAAATCAAGTTTTAGTTACCTTCGGTATAAGATATTAGGCCAAACTTTCTCTATCCTCATATGTTATCTGTTATACATTCATCACAAATATCTAAATATTGTGGATACACAAACCGTAATAGTTGGGTTTGAGTCACTGGTGGACTCAATACAGGGTTATTTGAAAACGTCCACTAAGAATGTAATTTCGAGTGAATATTTTGCTGGTCCTTTAAATACAATATAAATTTTAGAGGTAGAATATCGTAATGCAGTAGTTCCCATTAACCAGCCACTTATTGCGTTTTAGTCCCCTACGGTCTAAAATTTTTTGCGATGTCTACAAGAGCCCCTTATCTGTTATACTGCGACTATAATGATCTAAATTCTTCGGATAAAATATTCTGAAAAGTAGGGTTTGAGTCACCGGTGGCAATAACAGGGTTATTTCGGAACATCCATTCAAGCATGAGCTAAACAAAATGGTTGCAGGACTTGGAAAAATGTGTACTAAAAAGTATGCTTCCTGAAAAGCAAAGTTGAGAAATGGGAAATTGGTAACTAAGCTTTGCAGCTTTTCTAGTTGACACAATGCCACTACATTTATATTATTTTTGAATTCCTAGTCACTAGACTCAATCCTGGACACTAGATTTAGAAAAATTCCATAATAGATTCAGATTTGTATTAAGAAACTAATACAGTATTTATGGCTTAGGCTGGTCTCTTTGCTTTGAATTTGAAAGCTTAACCTTAATAGACTATGCATCTACCAAATCGCATATTAAGCGAAATAATGCCTAGTGCTTTGCTCTCCACACTAACTGACAGGTGTTAAAGTGCACCTGCATCGCAGTTTTAGAAGCGGCCTTCTTCGACCTAAATGCCAAACAGGAAACGACCTTGAGTGCTTGGACTGAACTACCGGCTCGGGGGAGGTCTCTGTCTCGTCCCTGTCTGAAAATCTAAGCCAGATTCCAAGAGCAAGTGTAATATTTTCCTGCTTCCTGTCCCTTTTTTAGTTCCCTCTGCCCAGAAACGGATGCGGAAGCTATACGCCCACACGAGGGAACCAGGTGACATTGAATTTAAGCTAACAACCAGACAAGCTGGCAAGTTTGTAATCTGGCAAGAGTTCATCAAGATCTAGAATCCCATTAACTAGGTCATGGAACACCAGATTTGCGGTCACGTCTCCGCCTCCAAAAAGCCGAGATATTACGTGTGAAGGCGGTCTGCGGCATGGAAACTTTTTCAATTACAAGAGCTTTTCCCAGATAAAGGCAAGCAACGAAATTAAAGACCCCAGGACTTAGGCCTTAGGCTTTGGGGGAAGCCACTTTTAATGCCACTTGTTCTTCTCTAAGACGGCCACAACTTTAACTTTATCCACCTCGTAGGTGTGGGGGCCATCGCGGAACTCCACGCCCTCGAGGATCAAAGTCCACACATTGTCGCAGAATCTGTAGTTCACCAATTTGTCGGCCTTAAAGGTAAGCTTGGCCGCGGCCCGCTTCTGTAGGGCCTTAGTGATGCTCTTGTCGTATTTCTTCCAAATTGCCCTAACCAAGTCATCGGACACAATGCCTTCCTGCAATATGCATTTACATATATTGAAAGGACCGAGGGTTAGAATGGATCTGCCCAATTCCTCACCTGTATCATCTCCTCTAAGGTGTCTTCGAGGGCATTGCCCAACGTGGTGTGCCTGTAGAGTTCGGAGTTCATCGTTGAATTAGGGATATCGCAAGAAGAACAGACAGAAGTCGGAAGTTTGCAGAATATTGAAGTCACACTGAACTGACTGAAGTTCAGACAGCAAATGATTTTTGAAAGTCATTTCCAATGACATTGCCATTTAAACATGGCTCCTCTGCAAACTACGATATATCAATCGGTCTGTTAGGGATCAATGTTAATGAGTAATTCGAGGCTGTAGGTGGAAATACTATGCCTGACATGGAGTATTTGTACCTTTTTCTGTCCAAATTACTTAGGGAGTTCTAAGAATGGCTAAGCAAGATGGGATGACTCGAGTTAGGCGAATTTAAGATCTGCAAATTGCTTTTTTTATCGATAGGAAACTTGTAAAGCTAGTAAGTAAACATTGTAGTTGGCAACAATGGAGTTCTGTAGAGAAACTATCGCGTGAAGGCCCTTGTAGTGTCATTCTCCCATAACCTAAACATCTTATGGAGACTTTCGTAACCCATTCCAATTAGAAAAACACGTGTTCTACGACATTTTATTGCTTTCCATTTCCCATTTAAATTATGATTCGAAGGTGAGAAGGATTGTTATCATGCAGTTAGGACTATATATCAGTTTTTATGCACATTATGGGGATACAAATTGTAAGTCAAATCAGAAATTTATTAATTTAAAACTATGATGCAGCTATCTCGTAGACTATAACTGTGCTGATGTCATAAAAAAGATAACAAATTTAAGCACCTGTGCTGCATAAACTATAATAATGATAACAATAACATATAATTCAGATATGATATTAAAAATTACCACAAAGACCAGGTTAATCCGCTGCCTTGCACATGTCGTGCCTCATTTAATTGAATGAACCTCGTTTAACCTGGTAAGTGCCGCTGGAATTCCTTCTTCGTGGTTCAGACTTTTGATCTTGGTTGCCGGCGACGTGGATTCTCTGAAGCACTTCCTCCAGATTTCTGCGCTCGACTGCCACTTCTCCTTCAAGAGGATATAAGTATGCATATGTAGACACTCTAGAGTGGCAAGGAAACACATGCAGATAGGCAGCAATCCTTATAAATTTCAGCTGTTGCTTGGGAGCTCCAAGCACGGCTTTTATAAACTAATAAATCATTTTGCGGGTAGAATTTTCATTAGCTTTCATTTGTTTTCCAAACCGACTTCACCGTGCCATGGCCAATGTGAGTTCGGGGCAGGTAGATCTGATATAAACTTGCATGGAGAGGCGTCATAAGTTCAGCCCCACAGGGAACTTAAAGTGTAGCTTCTTTGCACTTTTCGGTCCATTAAACTAAACTCCCCTCCCTTAGTAACTGAATTGATTTAAGTTTTCCTGGGTAACTCTGCACCAGGAATAATCTTGAATTGTGAGAAATATTTCACAAGACACTCGCCACACTTTCGAGATGCCACTCAGGGGTCGCATTACGACGTGGACACTGAGCACATAATGTGGGTCACAAATCACGCGTGGCGTTAGGAAGTGCACAGAAACTGTCTCAGTTTTGAGATATTTGTTATAATATAAATCTTAGATCTTAAAGAAGTACATTTTAAGTTTAAGAATTCGTTTACCTAAAAGATCGCTTGCCGTGGTAGTCCTTCAGTCTTTAGACTATTTAGAGAAACCGAAAAATGGGATCTCAACAGGCAGTTCCAACTCCTTCCGAGCATTTTAACTGAACGGAGTTTACCCCAAAATTGTTAAATAGGAAACCCAGACAAGTAAACAAACAATTTCGAGCATGGAGGGTCAGGACCACCAGAGCTCCATCAGCCTGGGGAGCAGTGGTGACGCCTCTAGGCTGGGATTCTTGGCCCGATTGGACCGCCTGCTCCGCCGCTGGCTGCCTGGATACAGTTTAATTCGCGGTAGGCGCAGTTCGCCATCGGAAATCTCGATTAGCGGAGGTTCCACTTTTGGTAGCAGGGCGGCACATGGCCGCAGGGGCAGGAGGGGCAACAAACAGGAAGTCTATTTGGACACGGGCATTGCCAAGTCCGAGTTCTGTGACCAGCTGGAGAACTTGCTGCGCAACAAGCTGCTCCAGAAGCAGCAGGAACAGCAGTTGGCTTTGCAACAGCAGGAAAGGGGCCGCGGGAAGGAGCGGGAGCTAAGCCAACCGCTCCATCCCCAAACGGTGACCAGTTCTTGAGTTAATGTTTCCATTTCTGTTTACGAATATATATTTTTCATTCCATCAATCAATCAATAGAAACGCCTCATTAAAATTAATTAGAAATAATGACCGGCAAAAGCCGGAATCGCATTAATAAACACGATTCTCTCCACAACGAAAACCTCTCGGTTAGGCTGATGGCAGCGGGGCGGCGAGTCTTTCCTGTTATTTTTACCTCCAAGCAATTGTTACCTAAATCTAACCAGTCAACAACAATTTAATCGCTCTTAATTGGCGAATGGAGATGGGCGATGGGCGATGGGCGATGGGAAAACCAACTAGAAAGTACCCTGTAAATAGTCTTCTATAGAGTTTTTCGCATATCCGATTTCTATTATAACTTTTGAAAAAAAATCAAAAAATATGTTAGGGGTGGAAAAACAAACTCAACGAGGCATGGCGTTTCATATTCGGACAATTTTTGGCTTCGTTAAGGATGAAATGTTGAAGTTTTGAAAAGGAAATCGGGACAAACCGAATTCCACATTCTTGCAAGGGGTAATCAAAATCTGCGAACAATGACAAAAATTTGACATTTTTAAGTGTGAACACAGTCCGACTGGAATTTTAATTACGAATTCAACGATGTATGACATTCTACATTCCGACAATTATTGGCCTAGTTATAAGAATAATTCTGATTATTTTCGGGCAGCTATCAGGATTTTGAGTTTCGAAAGATAATGGGACTATTTTTAATCGGTGTTATGCCTATAACTTGGTCAAAACAAGTCGCAGAACTGAAGGAACGACTGTTTTATGAAGCTAATGACCACAACAAACTTTCCCCATCATTGGTTTGATGATTTTGTGAACTTAAATTTTTAGCAATTTTTTGCATTTTCTGTAACATCATCAAAATTTCAGAAAAACGGCTAAATTTTGACTTTTTGAGGTGGGGACACTGTTCGATTGGAATTTTCATTACGATTTCAACGGTATATCACATTCCACATTCGGACAATTATTGGCTTTGTTATAGGAAGATTTCTTCTTATTTTGGGGCCAAAATCAGGATTATGCGTTTGGCCAGAAAATGATCATAGATTTTATCGGTGTTATACCTACAACTTGGTCAAAAGAAGGCTCAGAGCTAATATAAAAACAGTTTTGAGCAGCTTTCGACCGAAACAAACTTTCCTTATCATTGGTTTAGGGATTTTGTGAGTTTGAATTTTTATCAAATTTTTCCATTTTCTGTAAGGGGTAACATCATCAAAATTTCAGAAAAAGGGCAACATTTTGACATTTTGAGGTGGGGATACAGTTCGATTGGAATTTTCATTGCGATTTCAACGGTATATGACATTCTACATTCCGACAATTATTGGCTTAGCAATGAGAAGAATTCGCATTATTGTGGCACAAAAATGAGGGTTACGAGTTTCGACTGATAATGGGACTATTTTTAATCGGTGTTATGCCTATAACATAGTCAAAACAAGTCGCAAAACTGAAAGAAATACAGTTTTGAGCAGCTTTCTATCACAACAAACTTTCCCTATTATTCGTTTGTTGATTTTGGTAACTTGAATTTTTAACAAATTTTAGAATTTTCTGTAAGGGGTAACATCATTAAAATTTGAGAAAAACGTCCAAATTTTGACTTTTTGAGGTGGGGACACTGTTTGATTGGAATTTTCATTACGATTTCAACGCTATATCACATTCTACATTCCGACAATTATTAGCTTTGTAATGAGAAGAATTCGGATTATTGGGGCACAAAAATGAGGTTTATAGGAGATGACAGAAAGTAGCAATATGTTTATTGGTTTAATACCTATAACTTTGCCAAAACAAGGCCCAGATCTGAAATAAAGACTGTTCTGAGCAGCTTTCGACCAAAACAAACTTTCCTTATCATTCGTTTGACGATTTTGGGAATTTAAATTTTTAAGAAAATTTTGCATCTTTTGTTAGGTGTAACATTGTCAAAATTTGAGAGAATTGACTAAACTTTTACATTTCAGACTAGGAATGCACTTTTGTTGGAAATCAAATTACGAGCTCAACGAGGTATAACATTCCAAATTCGGACCATTATTGGCTCAGTTATGGAAACAATACCGTCGTCTTGAGAAGAAAAATGGGACTAAAATTTGAAAAAAATTGTCATTTTATGGTGTGAAGGCAGATTTACTAGGAATCGAAAAACAAACTCAACAACGTATTGCATTCCATACTCGACCCATTTTTGGCCCTATTATGGAAACAATACTCATATTTTGGTGGGTAAAATTGTGATTCAACAATTTTTGATGTTATAAAAGATATAGAATATATATATTGTAGGTCAACATTTTACCTAACGTGAACAGAATATAGAAAATTGATTGAATTAACCGACTCACCGAGCCACTCAGAAGGTCGATGGTACAATAAAATGAAAGCCAAGTGTGTAGGGAATATGGGCATTGGGAAATGGAAAATGGAAAATAGAAAATGGCGGACTAACAACCACTTGAAACATCGATTTAGTCGTTGTCAATTGCGATGTCATTAGGCCCGAGAACAATTATGTGTATTCCAGTTGGTTAGAAGGCAGACAGTCGGGTTTGTAATGCCAAAGCCCTGCTAATGTCCATGGCATTAGCATGGGGCTTTCCTTCCCCTCCACCGCCATCAACCGCTGTGTTCCTAGCCACTCATCATGGGCCATTCGAGTCCGTTCGAGGCTGTGACAAAGCTCAAACAAAAACATAACGTATACGCTCAGCAAACAGCAAGCCAAACCGTTCAAAGTGTATCTAAACATGTGTTGGTGAGTCGGCAAGGGGGTTGGGCTGGTTGCGACAGCGAGTCCTCGGGGATGGCATCATAATTTTGCTGGCTAAGCACTTAAGCACTTGACCATTAACGTAACTTTTGTCTACGTAGCTATCTGTAATGCACTAGAAATAAAAACTTGGCAAGCCCTTTAAATTTGTATATATTTTATATACATATCTTGTTACGATATGTACCCTGGGAATCAACTGGGAATCTAGTTACTTCTCGTTTCTCTGTGTGCACAAGCTCACATTGTTGACCACCGAATGGTTTTGATGTGGGGCTGATGATTCGATGGTCAAGTGGGGTATTCCTGGAACGAACCGCAGCTGGACCACAATCATTCCACCGGGCTGGGATCCCCGACCAATATATGTGCTCGTTGGCGTCGGGGATGTCAACAAGAGTGTTGTTGACCATTATAAGGGGGGCAAAAAGGGGGCCACAGTCCCATCGGATGGCAAGACCAAGAACACAGCGAATATGCTTATTATTTTTGAGAATTTAGCTAGTTGGGAAAATGTTGTTAACCAGCTGCAAGCTGAGACCCTCCCAGGGAAAAACATTCGGGTAATCTTTTTAATATCATTTTATTTATAATTTTGTTTGGCTTTGGATTTTCGATTTGAAATATAGATTAAAATTGTAAATTGTAAATTACATTAAATTGTTCGTTTAATACTTAAAGAGTTTTCGAATTAGCAAGCTTTAGTTTGGTATTTTGGCTGCTCTGCTGCACCAGCAATAGTTGAGCAAATATTTTGTAAATAAATAAATTTATGTAAGCTACTCAAAAATGGAGAGAGAAAGGGAAAGGGGGTTAATAACAGGAGGGACAGGGAGCTAAAGGGACTGGTGGGTGTATATTTATAAGGATGGGGGTTCAGTAGGGCTTACGAAACACATTTACAGAGGCGTCTTCAATGATATGTCTTGAAATATATATGTATTTGTGCTACTAAGTTGGATATGGTAGATATTGTAAGTATCTATGTCGGTTACAAGCTAAAATTAGTTTAGATTTCCAATTGGACCTAAGTGGAAAGGTAGAGATGGCGATTTAAAATTGGAGTTAGTTTCCCTTATATATCGATGTAAAGTAAATCGTTTATTGGTTATTCGATTATTCAATAGGTTATAGATATTTAATAATCGCTTTAATTTGATTAGCTGTGCGTTCGGTCAATTGATTAGCCGTCTTCCCGCCTTCATGGAATGCCAAAACTGGGTTTTAGGCTATGCATTTCCATTGGTATTCTGAACTAAACTAAAACCCACTTGCCTGAGCCTACCATGAAGACGAGAAAGCTGGTCTTAATGTAATAATCTTGATGAGTTCTAGTTCATTTGATTGGCTAATGCTGGTCGATCGATGTGCTATCGATTAACCTTGGCTTAATAGTCGAAAAAGTCGATAACAAATAAGCAATACCTTGCTAGTCTCTGTCGTTCGATTGCTGAACATCCTTGCTGTTCATATTATTGCAGGTCGACAATCCGTGGCTCGAGTATCGGTTTAATCCATTATTTAATTTTAACTTGAATTCGTCTGTAAGCAATCAATCAATATGGACATGTAACGAATTCGATTATCGATTAGTCGTAGCTGAGAGAAATTGCCGATTTCGGCGTGGGTAGCGGCGATGTGGTGTTCTCCTCCTCGTCGTCGTTCTCTTGCGAGTCTTCCGGTTCCCCTAAAGCGTGAACGAACTCATAGAAGTCGATGCGTCCGTCACCGTCCACATCCACCTCCTTGATCATGTCCTCAACTGAATGTAAGATGGGGTTGAGGAATGGGATTAGGATATAGGCATGCCAGGAACTTACTGTCCTCCTCGTCGAGATCTTCGCCGAGACACTGCAGCACGGCTCGCAGATCGGAAGCTGTGATATATCCCCGGTTGTGCTTGTCAAAAACTCGGAAGGCGTCGCGTAACTCACGCTCCTCCTGATCGGCAGAGGATAGACCTGACTTGTCCTCATAAGTCATGTTCGACAGGATGTCAACGAACTCCTCAAAACTGACATTGCCATCGCCTGAGAGGAATAGAAATAATGGAATGTGGGTGTTAGTGCTAGACTTTTGGTTATAAACATATATGTCTTGTAATGAAGAGGAGAACTAAACCTTCCCTAGCCCAATCTAAAGCTTACCATCCACGTCAATCTCCTGCAACATCTCTTGCAGCTCCTCCACCCTGGCAAATTGTCCCAGCGATCGCATCACAGTGCCCAGTTCCTCCTTGGTGATGCAGCCATCGCCGTCCTTGTCGAAAAGCCGAAAGGCTTCACGGAACTCCCTCATCTGTCCCTTGGAGATGCAGCGGCGTTTGTCCATCGACTCGCCCTCGATCAGGTTTGGACCTTCGTCAATTCCCAACTCTAAGTCCGAGGAAGCATAGGATATTTGACGGGTTTTCGTCTTGCGTCTGCTACGGACACTTAAGGCGGTCCGCGGAGGAGGCAGACGCCCTCCAGGCTTCGAGGACTGTTCGTAGTCGTCGTAGGACTCTTCCTCCTCCTCGCCGTCCTCCATCTCCTCCTCTTCGTCGTAGTCGTAGTCATCCAGTTCGTCCACCTGGAGGTTCCTCTGTGCGTAGCTGACCCGTGTGCTCCTCCGCTGACCCACTTTTATGCCCTCGCATGAGCTGGAGTCAGTGTCCGCATCCGCATCCGCCTGGTCTGGATGCGAAATGGCAGCACTTCGTTGTGGTTGCTTGTCTTGGGACGTTGTTAGTTTCTTTCGCGGCCTCTGACGGCGCTGCTCTGTTGATGGTTGCTGCTCGCTGCTGCGTTGGTGACCCTCATCTCCCGGCTGTTCGACATCCTGGACCGACTCATCCAGATCCTCCTGATCCTCTCCCTCGGCTCCAGCCGCCGACGTCTGGTCCTCGTCGGGCTCATCACCACTCAAAGCCGCGTTCCTCGTCTACATAAGTTTATCAAAAACATAGAAAAGCGAAGTAAAATTAACCAATGAGCCCATTCAAGAGGCTTTGCCCATTTCAATATTCTCCCTAAGTTGCCACATCTTGAAACCACTTACCATTAGTTGGCGAAACTCGCGGGCTATTGTTGAACCAGTTAAAAATTTATTAACTGCAGTGAAAAGCCGTTTTCCTTCCAACGTGGCGGCTTTCCTCCCGCTTCAGGGGATCTGCGGAAAGGAATCCTCCTGCTCCTCCTCTGACTGCTGCAACTCCTCTTCCCTGCTCGCACAACCGCTTTCGGGTCACAGGATATGCTAATTCCAAATCGAACGGTGGCTGAAAAGTGAAGGGGAATGCCGGTACATATGTTAATTAGGCAATTACGGATTGAAAGCCATTTGCATAGCGGCCACGTCCACGAATGGCGGTGTCAAAGAGCCAACGTGACCGGTCAGACACACGGGGAAATAAATATTGGTTGCATAAGCTTCTAATCTGATTACTATTATATTTTCCAAGACTAAAGTTCTGTATTATAACATCAATATTATTTGCATCAGATATATGTTTATGTATATATCATCGAAGGAAGACATAGATATATCCCTTTTATCATCGAGTATCAAACTTATACGAGCCCGTTTTTAGCTGTGCATTTAAAACGCCCCCTTGGGTTGGAAATCCGCAGCCAGTTCAAATCCCTGCAGCGCAGCTGGCTGAATGATATAATCAGTCTAATAATCCATTTGATTGACACACATTCATGCCACCATTCGAGGACACGAGAGTGACGCGAACAATAATGGCATCAATTGCTGTCAGCGTTCCGGGAAAAAGAACGCAAATAGTCGGGGAGTAAGCCCGGAATAAATACTCAGAAGCTCCTTTTATGGCGCCGGGAAAGCCAAAATGAAATCAAGTTGTCCATATGTCCGTGCTGAGACTGATTAGGCCTTTATGATAGTTTCCGTCTTTAGATTATTCGAAAGTTTAAGTGCTTTAAGATTTGTATTAGGATATCCAAACTGATCTCAACTTATATATTTGCTCGATCTTAAGCAAAGTTCATTCGTTGTTAGTTTAAGGACTTTTAAAATCCGGTTCTGGCTGTAAAGTATACTCGTATTTATACTTTTCAACTTAAAACCCATTACACAAATTTAAATAATTCCGCCATCTACGAAAGGGAAGGGCAAAATGAAGGCGTTTAATAGGGGAGGTGGAAAGATGGGGGATAAATCCGATTATCGCTGTGGCCAGGAAAGGACATCATTGGACAGCCGAGGGAGTTCTCTTTGGAGGCATTCCTGCGCTCTTCGTTTTCGCTTTAAAATTGCATTTCGATGGCCTGTCTGTGCCTGTGTGAGTGTCAGCGTGTGTGTGTGTGTGTGTATGAGTGTGAGTGGCAATTTTTTATCATTTGGAGGAAACACAGATGGCCAGGAAGGATGTGGCCAGCATGAGAGGACAAAGCCACATACGGGTGAAAACCGCAATAAAAATTTCCGAAAAGGAAGTGCCAAGGCGAAAACAAGGACACCCCAGGCGGCCAAGGACATTTGACAGCATACGGCCAGCATTTTCCCATTTAAACTGAAGTCCCCCTGCAGACTGATCCTTCGTCCTGGCTAAAGCCTTCGCATTGCCCACGTACGCACATATAATTAACATTTAACACTATTGGTAATAGCCCTTGGCCAAATAAAGGCCAGAAGATGATCCCTCAGCACCCAGGGGCAGTTTTAATAACACCTCCAGTCTGTGCTTTTCCGTCCCAGGTGTTGTTCAAATATTGTTACTTGCCTTTGGTGGAAACGCAAGATGTACTGAGAAAAACTTAGCATAAATTGGGAAAAATTGAAAAAAGTTGGCTCAGCTTAGGGAATATTTTGAAGTTGAGTCTTTAATTATTAGCCTCTGAAGTAAATTCAAACTGAACTTATGCCATCAGGCGTAAACTAATAAGTTAACTTCTTTGTTTTGGCATATCCTCCTCAGAGTGTCACTCCGTATTCCTTAGCATCATTTCTCTGGCTGTTCCGTTGCCTGCAGTCTCGAGCAAAGTTTCTGACATGAAATAAATGAAGACACAAATTCCAATCCCCCGTCTCGCCCTTTCTTACTGACTTTCTCTTATTCTCCCATTTCTAACATTTTTCCATCGATCCAGGCGACAAATGCGTTGCTCTGCATAACTTTATTCCACGTCTGTAAGTTGGTCTTCAGTGAGGAGGCTCGAAATATAAGCCACAGCCATCTGAATCGGCTATTCCCCGAGGGGAACAGGAGCAGGGGAATCCTCTATCTGCCTAATCAACGTTTGATTCAAATTGGTAACGAAGAAAGCGGAGGGTTTAACCATTGGCTCAAGGCCTGTGCAGCTGTTTTAATCAAAATTTAAATTCCCAAAGAAGATGCCCTTCAAACTCTCTCTCTCTCTTTTCGAGGAATCCCCCACGCCGCCCATTTTGACCGTTTAGTGGCAAAAATGAAAGCACTTGTCGAAAGCGAAAAGAGAAACCACAAAATGTGTTCGCCGAACAGTTTATTGTTTAATTTAAATTATTGGCTCCGGAAAGGGAGGAGGCCCTTGAAGGGTGGGGAGGTAAAAACCGCGTGACCGCAGTCCCTGGGAAAGGAAATGGAAAACGTTGCCCCCATGCAATCAATCAAGCCGAAAGAGGAGACACGAAACAAGTAAATGACTTTTTGCTGACTCCAAAATTCTCGCTCTGCAGTTTCCGGTTCTTTTGCAAAATTGGCGTACACTGCGTATGCGTTATATTTGCATTCCAATGAATTGAGTGGCCCTGCATGTATGCGTGTGTGTTTTTCTTTTTCGTTTAATGTGTGAGAGGATGCCCAACGAAGCTCGATTCGTACATAAAAACGCCAGCAAAAAGTTTATGCATAAATCAAACAAAACAAAACAAAGAGAATTCCCTTCATCCTTACGCCCTTTCTTTGCCTTGCCTTCTGCCTGCCACTTCGCCAGCACGTAAATATTTCGTTGGCAATAAAAAATTTAACAACACAAACGGGCCAAAAAAGCCAACAACAGTCAGAAACAGACCAGCAATGCACTATAGGTGCGAAAAGAGCGAAGGAACTTCAGGAATACGTTTCGAATTCAATACCAAAGCAGCAAATTCCACAGCAAAGATGTCGAAAATATTGAAAAACTCGACAACATAGTAAGCCAAAAGTGTGCTACAATATTCCTAAAAATCTTGAACCAGTTACACTCGGAAAATGCACGTAAAATGTGACTAATATAGAGCATTTTCCACCAAGACCTTCTGCTATTGTCAAAACTTCCACTTGATCTAAAGTCCTCTGCAAGATTCTGCCTCTGCCTCTGCCTCGTTTATCTCAACCGCACTTGCCCCATGCGTCGGCTTACCTTCTTCCGCCTGCTTTGGCATGCGACTTTGGCTGCTGCCTAGCTTCTTACATAATTTATATGCCACATCCCGCTTGCCACATGTGCAAAAAGACCAACTAAAGTGCCATGAATGAATATGCATGATAATCAAGTGGCGACGTTGCGGTTCACCCGCCTGTGCTCTCCTCCTGCCACGCAGGACACACCCCAGCGCCATTGTTTTCTAACAGGACCCATTAGCTCGGGACGAGTGCACAAAACGTAGCATACTTTCCAGGGCCACTAGTCACTGTTGCTACTTTCGCAGGTCTTCTCCTCTTTAGAATATATAACTAAGTTGCTGCTTAATGATATTTGACATTCGAAAATGTTTTTGAATTGCAGCAAACGTATGTAATCTTTTCTGTAATAAGCAATTATTTATGAGCTGAGTTCGAAATTTCGTAAATTTATACAGCTAAACTGTCATTTCTGACGACTTCCTTCTGCATGTGCGCCAGTTGGCTGCTTTGTTCAGTTCGTTAGTTCGTTAGTCACATAGCCCGCATTCGCCTTTCGCATTTGTCTGTTTGTGACATTTGCATACGTCCTATGAGCCTCGACCTCTTTCCCAATGGAATTGCAATAAACTTTACTTGCCTTGCAGCCGAAAAACTTGACCACCATTGTGCCAAACTTTCGTCCCACGAACTTTGCCCCAAAGGAAAGCACCGAAAAGGAAATTCAATTGATTCAAAGCAGGAATTTCGGAATGCGCAAACAATTAGCCCCAACGAAAGACGAAAGTTTCGGCCCGAAAAGTTTGCCACAGCTGCTTCACTGCCATATCAGTAACTTGGCCATTGTGGTGGGGGCTGCGGAAAATTCAGGGGAAATCACGCGGAAAGTTAAGCAACATAGGAAAATGGCATTGATTCGATTTCTACTTTTAAATTAGTTTAATTTGTCTACAATATACGCGGGTGCTCTTGAGGCCATTTTATTGCAAACAAAACTTAAACCCGAGAAGATTCCTTAAAGTTTTCCTACACATAGACACCATAAACATCTTTTCCCTTAACCCAGTTTCTTTGAGAACAGTTTACTTAATTGCGATTATGCTTTTAAGGCTTAAGGGCTTAGGTTTTACATAATTTAGTGTGAAATATTTAAGAATTGCTCACAAAAATGCTTGCCTAGAAAATCCAGCGTTGGAGGCGAGGAAAACACAAGGCAAAGGGAACTTTTTGCTATGCGTCCTATGCATATGCATAAAAAGGGGTCCCCGCCCTGTTGTTTGACAGCCTTAACCCCCCTTAACACCGCAGCGTATCTCGCGTTTTGCAATTTAGATGTTTATCCGCAGTTCTGGGTCCTTGTCCTCTTGGTTTTACTGTAGCTGTTGCTTTTACGGTCTGCCTTCGTTTCCTTTTTTGACAAACTTAAGCCTTTTATTCGGTGCCCTTTCTGGCGGAGTTACCGGCCTCGACACTTAACCCTCGCCCCAGCCACGCCCCCTCTTCGTTGCTAAATTTACATTTTGCTCGCTTCATCTGTTCGTATTCATCGCGCACATTTACATGCGTATTAAAACCTTCCCCGCTCTCAACTTGTTATTTGTTGCGTTTACATATTCAAAGGATTACATTTTTTGGCAAATGGATTTGCTTTGCTGGCTCTTCTTTTCTCGAGAGTCCCACTAACCAGATCTCTGCGGGTCCTTTTCAAGTGCTCGCCGACTGCCGGTGGGGCTTATTTTAATATCAACATATTCATGATGTGTTCGAGCGCAGGGAAAGTCAGACAAGGTTATGTGTGGCACTTGAGGACCGTAATTCGTGTGACAGCTTCAAAGGGAAGGAGGGTGGTTACAACTCCTATGGAAGGTACCCTCGAAATGCCAGAGAATTATCTTCTCGAGTTCACTTCAACTACTGTTAAACCCTTATCTCAGATATCCTTCATTCAATACGTTCCTCAGGCAAACCTTTAAAAGATCTTCCTGCACTACGATCTACTATATGCGTGGTCATTTCTGTCCTTAGCCTATCTTTAAGCCCACTTTAAGCTATCTGTCACAGCTGCGCCTCCATTATTCATGCCAACAGGTGAGCAACCCGGGCGAGGCCCACCTTACCAAGTGGCCATTCCTTATGCATGCAAATCTTCAAATCCCCAAGTGCAGTCACTTGGCGTGGCCTTTTGCCTCTGTGTGGCGCCTCTTTCCGCTCATAAATTATAATCAAGGAATTTCCATTTCCACGCCAAGTGGCTGGCAACTTCTGACTTGGCTTTCGCCCAACTTGACTCCGGCTGAGTGATGAGCAGCTCAGGCTGGGGAACACCTGACACTCTCGCACATTGGGAGTCAGATCGGAAATTGGCGACGGAAATCGTGCCATTAGGAGGCCATCGACAATCCACTTTCCCTTTCACTTTCCCTTCGACATCATCAACATCGACCTCAACGAGGGCGGGTCAATTAATTTGTGCTACCCTTAAAATTAACAAGGCCACAAAGATGATGATGGCGTACTCGATGGGTAAACAAACGAGACTGTGTTTGGGCTTTATATTTTGCTGATGCAACTCGACAGGATAAAAATTTCCGAAATTCCCTTAGACCATTGATAAGGCAGAGAGATTGTTAAATGGTTCATATGGGAGGACGATAAATTGGCTCCTTTATTGAAGCTAATTAAGGAAAAATCGGTTCTCCTTTTGCAATTTTAAGACCTCTGCCTGGCTAATGCCATATAAAGCCTCCCCATTCCGTTCCCACAGCCTCCACGTTTTCCTGCTCTTTAGGAGGTAACCACTTGGATTACACTTTGCCGAAAAATATGTTTATACGAGTGTGTGTGTGTGTGTGTTTTTGTAGCTTTTCTCCTACTGTTTCTGCCCTTCTCTGTCTGCATTTCTTTGTCGCCGTCGGTTATTGTTGCCAGTTTCCCAAACAATGCAGCCCCAAAAAGGACAACATGAAACATGGCGAGACCTTGTGGGGAGTGGGGAGCGGGGAATGGACTGTGGGCTGTGGGCGGACAGCAGTGGGTGGTGGTACATGAATAAGGACAAGCAAGGACACCGCCAAGCGCCCGTTATAGGATACTTGTCATTGTGGTGCACTTTTTTTGAGCCCTCCACTCGGAAGCCGCTCACCTGAACACCGGGGCAGGAAATGGGTAACAGCTTATTGCATAACCCACAAGCGGGCCAATGTCGCCTGGCCGGGATTAGGGCAACCCACAGATATAGATGCCCAGAAGCCAAGCGAACACTGAGCAAAAACATGATCAATCCGTAAAATGATGTTTTCGGTTGAATAACATTCGAGTTCTACGAAAAGGCTAGACCTTAAGTCGAGCGATTCTTAAAGAAAAACCATGAAAGTAAGAAACCAAAGTGAAGAAAATTGCATTAATATTTTCAATGTATTTTTTCCCAGTGGATCACGTCCTTCCATTCAATCTTTGCTATCCCTTTCGTTGGTTTCTGCCGTCCCATGGCAGAATTCTTTGGCTATAAGCTAAGAGATGCTTTCGACTCAATCAAGTTGATGGCGGAAATGGAGAGGCGGAGGAGCGAGGGCCTTGCATTAATTCGGAGGGCAAGCGTTGGCAAACTTTTTCGCACCAAAAGATGGTTGCAAACTGCAAATTCTTCCACTTTGTTGCCTTGCGATTCATTCAAGTAAAATATGCCATATATTCCATGTGTGAGTTTTTTGCTCCAATGTGTGCATGGTGTCGCACACACACACACACCCACACACCCACACACACTCACAACTGGGCTGACAAGTTGTAACTTGATCCAATTCATTAAATGAAAATTATATTTTATGATTTAAATTGCATTTTCTCAAGGCAGAGCCAGCATTTCGGTGCATGTGAACGTGTTGAGCGTGAGTGCGTGTACAGCTGTGTTAACTTGCACTGAGAAAAAGTCTTCTTAAGCTGCACATTTTGTAAGGGAAAGCAAATAATGAAACGTAGGTATTCAGAATGGGATAAAAACTCTTTGTTGAAGCCATGCATAGGTATGTTTTATGTTTCAAATGAGTTCAAAGTTCAGCTCTTCCAACGAAAAGATTCAGCCGCGTCTCCAGGGAGTTGTCCATTTTTGTAATGGGCATGCAGTAGAATAAGAACCCACCGTACCTTACGGTTCCTTTTTAAGCCATTTTCCCTTTGGCCGAAAACATAATTTAGCGGAAGTTCTGCCTCAGTTTCGAGGGCATAAAGTCAATGCGGAAGCAGGCGAAATAAGGAAAGAATAAAAGAGCGAAGGGCGAAATAGAGGGATTTTGGAAAATTAAATGGAAAATGGGTGAAAACAATTTGAACTTGCTAAGCTTGAGTGTGTGGCTGTTGCTCTGTGGGTTTTTGGGGGAGGTTTGAATTTAAATTGAGCGTATTCAGTCGGAAATGCAGCAGCCCCAGGAAGCCAGAAAGCGGGTAAAATTACCACATACTTATGTACCTTTACTTTCAGTGATCTTTTCCATTTCCATGGCAATCATTTGTCATCTTTCACCCGCTTGATTAATGATTTCTTTGTATATTTGCCCAGCTATTTGTTTTGCGCTTGTGTAATTGCTTTCTTCAGCGAAGCTGTTTCACCATTTCCGTTCCGCTAACAACTCTCCAGAGGCTCCGCCATTTCTCTAATTGCTTCCGTTTGGATGCAATTGCATCCAACCACCAAACCCACCCGCTACCATCCGCTCACCACTTAATCGCTTAACTTTGTCGCCAACATGGCTTCTCTCCAAATTTTATAAGCCCTGACAAATGTCTCCGTCTCCGTCTCAGCCTCTGTTCATATTTCTGCCTTGCTTTTTCCAGAGTGCCAGACCCAAAAAAGTATGCTACACATTTTGACAGACTGACAGCTGAGGCCAACGTGGGCGCACTAGTGTCGTAGACGTTGGCAGGACCTTTTCCAGTGCTCGCTCGAAAATAAATTCGTTCACATCGGAACCTATCCCAGGGAAGCTTCACTTCAGGTCTGACTACTGTCCGTTGGCCGCTTCTTATCTGAGTTTCTCAGTGCTGGCAGTACTATTAAACAATTAGTATTTTTGTAATTTGATTTCTTCAGCACAGTGCTAGCCAAAAAACTCCCCCAGAAGTTTTCTTCGCTCTGGGAAATTCTGATATTACTTCTGGAAGGGAAAATTGAATCGAACCGGGCAGAATTCTGGGATAGAGAAACTTCAGTGCTTAATTCTGGGTATCTAATTACGAATTTTTAGATAAGTTTCGAAGGGTTTAGCTTTATTAAGATAAAAAACTTTATTTTAGTTTAATTTTAAGCAGTTTATGATTTCGGTCAAAGTATGGGTCTGCAATTAGCGAATCAAAATGTGTTGACCCTCCTTCACTTTCTTGACCCGACTCCATGATTGTATTTGGCGTAATTTTTAATTAGCTTTCTCGTCCACTTTTCGTTTCCCTCCCTCGCTCTTAACGGGGCTAATTGCCTTCCTTTTGTACTCCCGCAGGACATCGACATGTGTCCGGGGAGAGCTACGATTTTTAATTTAATAAAACTCGCCACATTCCGTAATTGAGCAGAACACGACAATTGCTATGCACAGAACGAAAAATCTGCACGACATGCCAATAACATTATAAATTTATGATATACACTTATAATATTAGTTTCGTTTCTGTGCAAGGGGCGGGATCGGCCCGGATCCCAGGGCGTGGCAGTCAATAATTCATATGCTTTGCCGCGAGGCAATCCGATTTTCTCATTTATCCCTGTCCAGTTTTTGTCTACACTCCGCCATGTCAATACAATTCCACATTTGCATTTCGGCTTTTGGTCGCTTTTGGAACTGTCGGTAATTCCCATTGAAATATTGACCCGGTCATTTGGGCTTGATTAAATTTGAATATCTGAATATGCATGACCCCGAGGCGGGAAATAATTGGGAAAATTTGAACCAAAAACAGTAAACAGCAATTTTTGTTTTTAAATTCTTTAACATAAATAATTTACGCCAATTAAACCATTTTTGAACTCCACTTTTAGAATGTCTGATTAGGCTAACAATTGTTGGGCTAAAAGAAAATCGGTGGTGTTATTTACAAATGATATAAGAATAAAATGTTGGGGTTTTTAATATAAATTTCGAAATTAATTTAAACAAATAAGTTGCTTTTACGAGGATGTATATTCTGCTTAGCAATCAGTATGTATTTACTTACATATTTTTGCAATATTATTATTTATGAATCGTTGTAAAATGCCCAAGTAATTTCTACGAGAAATTGTGTCTGATTAGTTCTGCAAACTGGGAAAATAAGATTATTTTCCAGACCAAAAATGAAATTAAGTGCAAGTTTCTATCTTGTTCGACTATACGGGATTTTCTCCCAAGATAATCATGGATCTCCAAAGATCCAAGCTCTCGGAGATGAAAATGGCGGAATTCCCAGAAGTGTAGCCAAGCCGAATGGAAATAAAATAAAGAGACGGGTAAACAACGGAAAGGGGAAAGTGCAATTGGAAAAGACTTCTCTTACGCACTTACACACGCACGTTCACTCGAAAAAAATGACTGCTCCTTATCACGCTAACACGCGAATTCGAAATTCAGCTAACTTTACACTACGAAATTCGGACGAAACCAGACGTGCTGGTACCTCCGAACTTTTCAAAATCGGCCAAGAAACTAACTGTAAAGATATAAGCGGCAGGTCCTGGCGCAGGCACTAAAGCTAATAAGCCATCGAATGTACTATCGATGGTAATGAAGCTATCAAGTTATCGAATCCACTATCGATACCATCGATAGCCAGTGAAACAATCTATGCACACACCTTAAAAATACTGGATACCAATTGGAATTCAGCACTCTTCCAATTTAATCGGTCCCACTATTCACGCAATCAGCTGTTTCTGCCGCAAAAACATTTGTTGACTTAACATGAGCTGTTTAAGTTTAAAATTATAGAACAAGTCTGAACTGAATGATTCGCAAAGTAGTAGTGGGCGTGTCTGGGGGCGTGGACAGCGCTGTCACCGCTCACCTGCTGTCAGAACGAGGATTCAATGTGTTGGGAGTATTCATGAGAAATTGGGATGAAATGGACGAAGTGGGTCGGTGCAGCGGCGAGGCCGATCTTAGGGATGCAGAGTGGGCATGTCGGCTTCTGGGAGTGGAGCTGCGCCAGGTGAACTATGTGCGCGAGTATTGGACGGCTGTATTTAGCCAATTCCTGGACGATTATCAACAAGGATTAACTCCAAATCCAGATATTCTGTGCAACCGCCACATCAAGTTCGACCTTTTCCATAAGCACGCACTAGATAATCTCAATTACGATGCCGTGGCCACAGGTCACTATGCCCGCAATAGTTTAGGAAACTATCTGGAAGGAATTACTTCTCAGAAGGAAGCACGTTTGCTAATACCCGCCGATACCTTCAAGGATCAAACATTCTTTCTGGCCGGGATTTCCCGAAAAGCTCTGCAACGCACCATGTTTCCTTTGGGAGATCTCCAGAAGACCCAGGTGAAGGAATTGGCCACAAAAATTGGACTCAATCGCCTTGCCAATAAGAAAGAGAGCACGGGCATTTGTTTCGTTGGCAAACGAAACTTTAAGGATTTTATAAAAGAGGTAAACAGAACATACATATGTACATACATCTCGATCCATGAAGTTATGATATAGAATGGACTTCATATGAGACTTCTCGACATGACCAGGAACTCAAAGTTTGTTCGCCTCTTCTTGCAGTACATTACATCCAAAAATGGTCCTTTTATAGACATCGACAGTGGAGCAGTAGTTGGCCACCACGAGGGCATCCATCAGTGGACTGTGGGCCAACGTTGCCGCTTAAGTTCATACCTGCAACCCTATTTTGTTGCCAGGAAAGATGCCGTCAACAATAACATCTTTGTGGCAGCAGGCCATGATCACCCCGCCTTACTTAGCACCCACATAAACATCGATCCACCCAACTGGCTGTGTTCTAAGTCCCAAGAAAAGCTTTTGGATACCGGCCAGTTAAGATGCCGCTTTCGTTTCCAGCACACGAAACCCTTAGTGGACTGCCACCTGAGGATCTCAGCAAAGAAAGACTTCCATGTCGAGTTGGATGCTCCTTTAAGAGCCATTACGCCAGGACAATATGCTGTGTTTTATGACGACACGGCTTGTTTAGGTTCAGCTCGTATCCTTTGCGCTGATCCTCTTAACGAAAACCTTCAGGCACAACAAATTTAAGTTGAAACACTAAACGGTTCATGGTTTTTTTGTGGAAAAAACCTTCTAAGTCAGGAAATGATTGAGAAATCTAGTTAGCCTAGTTAATCGATGATTAATTAGTTCTTTGTATTGTTTCCTTTGATCCATAAAAATACACAAATTCTCTTTTAATTTCACGGTTAACACTTTAAACATATACGCAGTTTATTCTAGGTCAGATTTACAAATAATTTTCTAAAAAAAAAAAGCTGTCCTTAAGTTAGCGTAGTCCTGGGCGCAATTTCTAAATCATTAACACATTTTAGTCGCACATAAATAGGGTTTGTTTACAATTGTAGCTTAGAATTACAAATTATGTCTCATCTTAATATCCAACTTAGTACATAAATATGGTTGAGCGGGGATGTAGGTAGTAGTTTGAAGGTTGAGTGAATCAAGTGAGAAGTACGGTGAGGGCATCCAGGAAGCGGGTAAGGTCGCTCTGCCGTAGCTGAACCACCGCAGGCTCAAAAAAATCCTGCAGTAGAGCAACCCCACTCTTTTGCGCCGCCTGCTCAAAGGCCTTGCCAAAGAAATTTCGCGGTGAGTCTTCCCTAACAGGGGCGATCCCGACCAGCAGACACATGCCCTGCGCTGCGTCCAAGGGACAACTTGCGATCAACGGCAAGTCCGGCGCCTGTCTGGCTCTACTCGTTGCTACGTGTCCGCGCAAAAGGAAGCGTGCGAGGAGTCCTAGGGCATATGGACACGAGAAGAAGGCATGCTCCTCTTGCAGGACGTAGTAGAAAAACGATCCAGCGGAGAGCACTTGGCGTGCCTCTAGACTGCTTTGCACCTGCCTAAAAATAGCGGCATGCTGAAGCTTCGCCTGGTCAATTCCCGCAGATAAAAGCTGTTTGTGCTGGCGACTCAAAGCATCGGAGGCCTCCAGAAAGCAGTCCTCCGGCGTCTTGTGCTTCTTCACGGACTCCATTATGGCGAGCAGTGCATATACGTAGTCGGCAGCCGCATATCTGCTGCGGTAACCATAGCTCAGGGTAAAAGTTCCATAGACAATGTCTGGTATGTCGTACTTCTCCGCTAGTCGCTCAACCATCGAGTAGAACTCCTTGCGAAGCACCAAATCCATAGCTCCGTACGTCTGGCGGGCGTGGACTAGGGGTAATCCCATCTCAAGTAAAAGTTCGTGTAATCTCTTCTCACCGCGAAGTGTCCACAATTTCAATTGGCATGAGGCGTAGCGAGAGTACCTGGATAGGATTGACATATAGTTTCAATGACTAGAATATACTCCCTATGCTTACCTCATCGACTCCGTAACGGGCCAGTGGCGGTACAAAACCAGATGCAAATCATTCTCAAAGCATATCTTGGAAGCACTCATTGTATTCTGGTCATTTGTTTTGTTCGTAAGCCGCGACACATGCGACTGGATCTGTTCCAGTTCCAAAGTGTACGCTCCACTTTCAATTTTACCCAGCAAAAGCTGTTCGGTGATACCCACAATGGCCCACCAGAGAAGGTCCATATTGTCCTTAGAGAGCTTCCAGGCCAACTCGAAAACCAGTAAAGCAGCGGACCTGCCATAGTAGCTAAACTGGGTGTATTCGAACATGATCCTGTCGCGTTCTGATTCCCATTGTCGGCGAGCTCGCTGCTTCAAGATGCGCTGCTCATGCCGTTCCAAGCGGCTAAGCTTGCGGTTCTGTGGAGGCTGATCCTCCGCATCTGATTCTCCGGCGCCACTGTCGTTATTCTGGTTTTCTTGGTCGGAAGATTCGTCGTCCTCTTCGTCTTCAACTTCTTCGGAATCATAAAAGATAGTCTCGAAGGCTGGTATATTCTCCTCCAAGGAGGCATCCCCCAGAATGCACACTTGACGATCACTGTAGATATTACAGACATCCAAAGGTCGATGCGAATCGCAGATGAAAAAGGTAACATCCTCTGCAGGCTGCAACAGTTCCACAATATCCACACAGCCGCCGCAGTTTACCAGCACCACGTACTTTACATCGCCCTGGTGCTCTCCATAGGCTCTTTTTAGACCAGTCACACCCATAATGGGCACCACTGTGTAAAGCATGTGGTCGTATTTAAACAAAGCCTGCAGGATGCGACTTGCGCAGATGGCATCGATGTCATAGTTGACTACGATCAGAATGCGCTTGCCCACCAGTTGGCGGTAGAAATCGTTGCGCAGATCCTGGACAAACATGGCGAAGCCTAGTGAGAGTCCCTACAAAAGCACTACTGACTGGTTAGTTTTTGGGACTTTTGACTGTTTTTTTCAGTGGTTTTCGCGTAACGGAATGGGACTTTTAAGTGACCGGGATGCGTCTCATTTTGCGGGTTTCCGCTACCGCTGCACTTTTGCCAATTGCAATTGGCGAATGAAAAACGCGGGAAAAAACAGCTGGATATACGGGTGTGACCAGCCACATACAAAACAGAAATGCTCCGCTTAATTTCCTTTCACTCGATAACAGTGGTATTATCTGCAATTTGTGATAGGCTCAGGCAAACAGAAGTTACATTATTATTATATATATTTGTATCTTATTACATTTAAATTTTTTTTTTTTTTTTTTGCATTTTAAGTACCGTAGTGCTTGTGCATTAAAAAAAAAAAATAATATATTTTGGCGCTCCAGAAATGGTCATACTGCAACGCGACATGTGTTTTGTTTTGAATGTTAAGAATACCCGAAGAGTCCATGAAATTGCAAAGTTTATGTAAAAATCACACAAAACATGTCCAATGACAAAAAGAAGAAGCTGCAGACGCAGCGTCATGTCTCCTCCCGGATGAACTTCCTCTTTCAGGCTTCGAATTTAATGGCTGCAGGCAATCAAACCAAACTAGCCGCCCATTACGGAAAACTCTGCCGGAATGTAGGCACAAAAGCACTGATGCGCATGTAAGTGGCTTTCCAGTTGAACATTGGAGCTTAATACTAAAGATTTTATATGACTTTAGGGCACCTGCTGTAAAACGCTCCCTATGCAGGCTCTGTTTCCTTCCCCTTATTCCCGGAGTAAATACAGAGCTCCAGGTGGCCGGAGCCCCTAATAAAGTGCCTCCTCTGCAGGATCCTTTAAATACCGCAAAGAAAAACGGAAAAAAGCGACATCGCAGGCTGCGCAAAAAGCCCAACAAGAAACTTAAAACCGAGGATGCAATAAACAGCAGCGAATCCCAACCAGAAACCCTCGAAAGAATTCGTCTGTTTTTGGAGTGCTCACTCTGCCGGAGCCGGCAAAGCTTTCCGACGGACAATAAAAAAGACTGTTGGCTGGAGCAGCCGCAATCCGTGGTGTCTCTCCCCGAAGAAAACAGAGAGATAGGTTAAAGCTTTCCTTATCTGGTCGTTCGCCCCTTTCTATCGCCTGATTGTTCGGCAGTTGAGCCCGGAATGCTGAGCTGTAGACAACTGATTTCTTCCCGGCTGTTCCAGCTCCGGAAAAAGAGCATATTAGCTCGTGTACGGGCCTCCGATTATGTGGAAGTCCTGGAGGAGCAGGGTGATCTCTTGAAGTACCCACAAGTTTGGCTAAGGGATAATTGCCAATGTGCTGAGTGCTTCCACGCCGCCACAAAAGCCAGGAGAAGTCACTGGGAGCGTGGACCGTTGAATGTCGAAGTGTCCCAAGTGACTTACAACCCAGAGAAGAAACAGTTGGATATCATATGGCAGGATGAACACAAGAGCACCTTTGATCTGGGGTGGCTCAGAGAAAGGGACTTCGGAGAGTCGACGAGAAAGCGTTACCTAGAACAGGTTTACAAACCATCCGCACAACTCTGGGGAAAATCGGAATTTAAGACTGTAAGAAGGGAATTTCAATACCAAGATGTAATCCAGGAGGATGCAGTGCTTAAGGATTGGCTAGAGGCACTGGCAATCCAAGGATTTGCCATTCTGAAAGGGGCCCCCAACGACATTAATGTCACCAAGCATTTAGCCAAAAGAATTGGCTATATAAAACGCACCACCTACGGGTAATTAATCTACTATTTCATACACACATCACACACCATACCAAGTTTTTACCAAGAGCTCCAATCTACTAAATATCATAATCAGTTGATTATTACATTAGTTTTGTGCCAGGTGTTCGTATTTCCTTCTCTTGATAAAGATTTCTAGATAGTACAACAATCTTGAAAAAAGACTATCTAAAACTCGTCAGATTTTCTTAAATCGTATTTATTTTATAGCCTATAAGATACACTATTAAAAACAGAAGATGTAATATTCTTAAAACTAGCTAAGTGGTATCATGGCTTCGGACGGCTGTGCCATCCTAACCATATGCTCAATAAAAATATGGATAAGCCAAGCGGCTCGAATTTTTGAGGAACAGATCATTTCAGTTACATTACTCAACTCCAGTTCCAATCTTACTATCCCTCATTCTACATCCCTTAGCGATGTTTTCGAGGTTAAATCCAAACCAAATGCGGGAAACTACGCCTATTTGATGACTCCCCTACCGCTCCACACGGACATGCCGTACTACGAATACAAGGCGGGTATCAACATCCTGCATACACTCGTCCAGTCGGAGTCAAAAGGAGGAGCAAATACTCTTGCGGACGGCTTCAACGTGGCCTCTCAGTTGCAAAAACTGCATCCGAAAGATTTCGAGATACTCAAAACTGTGCCCGTGAATTGGGTCGACATTGGACACGATGGTAATGATTCCAAGCCCTTCCATAGCCTCTGGAGAGCCCCGGTGATTTGTTTGGATGTGGATGGTCGGTTTACAAGAATCAATCAGAACACCACCAAACGAGATAGTCGTTTCTCGGTTCCTTTGGAGCAGGTCGTGTCCTGGTACAAGGCATATAATAAATTCCTGGAGATCGCACAGGCCGAGGCCGTGGAATTTAAGACTCAAGCCGGTGATGTTTTTGTGTTCAATAACCTGCGCATGTTACACGGGAGAACGGCCTACGAAGATGCCCCAGGCAACAAGCGTCATTTGGTGGGAGCTTACGTCGATTGGGACATTATATACTCCAAACTGCGAACCTTGAAGTTTCCAAATGCTATAGCTTAAATGCGCTTATGTACATAATAAATCTAATCTTTTAGCCCAAACAGAACATTATAATTTTTTGGATTTTAAGTTAAGGATTTGTCCTTAAACCTTTTTAGTTTAAAATTTAATACTTTTCTATACACAAATGTGTGGTTTTATAGCAGAAATCTCTCCGAACTGTAGATTATTTTTAAGAATAATATACAACATATAATTGCGATCGTTAGTATCGAAATTTAAATGCAAAATTCAAATATTCGATATATCGATAACATCGCGAGTGGTTAGCCCAGCTCTAGTATGAAATAGAAGTTGATAATTGTTTCACCTCTAGCATCGTATGCAAAATAAAAATATAATGGGAATAAATTAATAGAAAACCTCCCGTGAAATGCGATCATCTAGCCATTGATCCTAGATCTTGCATTTCGTAAACAGTGAGTGAGTCGCGTGGAAGGCAAAGGTCGTGGAGCCCCGAGCACTGAATTGTGTAGGAATTGTCGTCCTGTTTATCCACTGCAATGATGCCCTATAATGTGCGAAATGCCGGCGGCGGAAGCGTTGGCGGAATACTTCGGCGTACAGGCCAAGGAACCGGACCCACGGCCATAAGTAATGGAAGCAGTACTGGAGGCTCGGGAGTCGGTGGTGGGACCTCCACAAACGTGGAAAACCACCGACAAACACCATTGGAACTGCTTGTTTTTGGTTACGCCTGCAAGATTTTTCGAGATGACGAAAAGGCACGGGAAATGGACCACGGCAAGCAGCTAATTCCCTGGATGGGCGATGTAAATCTCAAAATAGACAGGTTAATAATTGGGACTAACCCGAGAATTAATTATACGATTAATCAGTTCGCATACCACTGCTACACAACACACACACACACAGCCTTATGCCCATTTTGTGTCCCGTTAGGACTACACTTATCCAGACAGTAGCGGCCAAATTACTAGTAGCGGGTAGTATGATAGAGGGACAATACTATTGTTAAAATTGCCGCTAGTATTTTGACCATGACTGTATTAATAGAGGACCTTTGAACTAAAGCGGACTGCACACACACTATACCCACACGAGCAACACACATTTACACACAAACACACCATTGTAATAACAGCTCTTTTCAGTGCTTCTCAAACTGTAATCTCTATCCATAAACAATTTGAAAACTGTAATTCTTTGACCGTTTTAAATGTTAACCGATTAACTTTTTAGCCACCGGAGCGGTATGTATATGAACGATCTCTAGCCTTAAAACCTAATCTTATTTGAAACTGCATTATATATATACCGTATTATTATGAATATTGTGTAACTGCGCGAGAGTGTGCGAAGCAAATGGGGATTATCCTCGGGTTGAAAGATTTTTAAGGAGCTTCCCTGAGCTCCGTTTGTTTCGCCCGCCCCTTTTCGCACCGCCCCTGAAATTGCAACGCCCACTGATAATGCTCCTCTTTCCTCTCTGTTTATATTTTTCTGCTTGCTTTCTTTCGGCTCCATAAATACCATGATTTCCGTGACATTTGAACTGAACCCCAGATACGACGTACGCGGTGCCCTCTGCGAACTTGCTCCTCATGAGGTGCCGCCGGGCGGATATGGCAACAGATTGGAGTACTTAAGCGCCGAGGAACAGCGTGCCGAGCAACTTTGCGAGGAGGAGCGTTACCTGTTCCTTTACAACAATGAAGAGGAGCTGCGACTGCGACAAGGTGAGTACCACTGGTATCGATAGTAACTCCAGATCCATTGATCTGGGCGGGGGTGTCGAAATAAATCATCCAGGGGTACACATATAGGCTCTTATAAATTATTAAGCACAATTAACTTGGGACATATTTAAAAAACTTTGGATAATACAGTGTTTTATTGAAGAAGAGTTTAAAGATCACATTATATTCGATGATGTCGGCAAAATATTTTGACTTGGCGTAGAGTTTTATTATAGTTAAACAGCATATTGTTGATAATGGAGAGTGCCAGAGATTTCTGCATCAGCGATGATTTTTATCCGAGAATATGTAGAAAGCTTGCGTTTAATAGAAATAGACTTAGAAATCATATTCCGGCAATTCCGATTCGATTTAATATTGCCGTGTATTCTAATCAGTCTGCTAACTAAATAATAAATATAATCCTTACGATGTCGACACCCCTAGTCATGAACTCCTGAAATTGTGAATTGTGTTACAAGTACTGCAAGTATCAAAAAGCGATCGAAGCCAAACGCAGATCGAAAGTATAATAAATCAAATCAGAACCAATCAATTCAATACCAACCACCGATAAAGATACCACCGACATCCCCTCGATATTTCCAGAGAGTTCCTTTTGGATCAGGTAAATACGCAAACCTCATCACCTGACAGATTAAATCGTTTTTTACAGGTGCAATAAGCTGGAGCGACTAGTTTGTTGTGGGTGATCCGGAATTCCAGGACCCCACGGGATTCCCAGTGAAACAATATATCGCTATCTAGCCCCAACGCCTTCTTTCTTTCTCTCTTCTCTCTCGTTCGCATCAACTCAAATATGTTTCTCTCGCTCTGATTCAAATTGTTATTATTATTGATTTAATTAGTCCCGTACTAAAGTCGCACTATTCCATATGTTCTCTGCTCTTATTTTGGCACGAATTCGCGGATCCTGCAGAGGAGGACCTTAAGCGGCTGCAGCAGGAAACCTCCGGTGGCAGCTACAGTCAGGTGGGCTTCCAGTACGATGGACAGTCGGCAGCCTCGGCTTCGTTCACCGGATCTTCCACGGCGCCCTCACAGCTGTCGCCGGCTTCCGAAGAAAGCGAGTTGCCTTTCGTCCTGCCCTACACCCTTATGATGGTACCTCCATTGGGCATGCAGCTGGTAAGTCAATTTTCCACTTCTCTAAACGTGAATACCAATCGATTAAAGGTCAAATTACAAGCTCAGCGATATGGCATTCCATATTCCAAAATTTTTTGGCTATTTTATGGACATAATACTGATAGTTCGGTGATGAAATCTGGAGTTACCAAATATCGCATATTAGAAAAAATGTCGAAAAATGTTTTTAATGCAAAAAAATAAATATATTTGTAATTTGATTAATTGAATCAATGCCTAAAATATCTTTTTATCCACTAAGTAATTTATATTAATTAATTAATATATGTTATTAATAACATAATTTCTCTGATTCTATGAAACTCCAGCCGGAAACGATGAAACAGCACGCCATTATCGAGAAGACTGCTCGCTTCATCGCCACCCAGGGCGCCCAGATGGAGATCCTGATTAAGGCGAAGCAGGCGAATAACACGCAGTTCGACTTTCTTACGCAAGGTGGTTACTTGCAGCCGTACTACCGTCACCTTTTGGCCGCAATAAAGGCTTCGAAGTTTGCGCCCGCTCCGGAAACTCCGTTGGATCAGAAGGATCCCGACCAGGAGTCGCAATCAACAGACTCACACAGTGAGGACGGCGCGGGTGGAAAGAGGAACACAAACCAAGTGGTCATCACGGTGCCCACTATCAAGTACAAACCCTCAGCCAACTGCGCCTACACCCAGTTAATCAGCAAGATCAAGGGTGTGCCCCTGCAAGCGGTCTTGCTGGAGGATGAGTCTAGTAACCCAGGAAATTCCCAACACTCGGGGGGAACGAATTCGCCCACGCCCAGCTGCCGATCAGACGGACACAACAGTCAGGGAGGGGAATTCACGCCTGTCCTGCTCCAGTACAATGGAAGTACCTTCACCCACGAAGAGGAAACAACTGTTCAGGAACAGCAGGATGAGAACGAGGCCGATAATGCCGAGCCGCCCCAAGTGGAGCTGCTTAAGAATACAAGTGCTTTGGCCCTGGCCCAAAACTACAGTTCTGAAAGTGAGGAGGAGGATGAAGTTCATCCAGAAAAGAAGCCAGATATAGTGAGCTCATTCGTAATTCCAAAAATCTATTCACTACCTTTGTATGTTCTTTTTTTAGAAACCTGAACCCGTGCTGAAGTTCCCCGTTCCAGAGGAGAGCCTACGGCACATAATTGACAAGACGGCCACGTACGTGATCAAGAACGGGCGCCAGTTTGAGGAGACTCTGCGAACGAAGAGCGTGGAGCGGTTTAGTTTCTTGCTGCCGGCCAACGAATTTTATGCGTACTACTTGTACAAAGTGACAGGCGATGTCGATGCGGCTTCAAAAGAGGAAAAGACACGGAAAGCGGCGGCCGTAGCTGCCGCCTTGATGTCGAAGAAGGGCCTCAGTTTTGGCGGAGCGGCAGCTGCTGTGGCTGGGAACAATTTGGATAAGAGTAGTTATAGACAATAGTTTTCCCTTGACTAGTATTTAACTTATGGTTCTTTCTTTTTAGCAACTGTAAGTTTCTCTATTCGCGCTCGGGATGAGCATGTTCCTTTACAACCCACTCTTCTGCAGGAGGCCAGCGACGAGGAGGCCAGTTTGACTGCCGGCGCAGAGCAAGTACGTCCCGGCATGCCAGATAGTGTGCAGCGGGCGATCAAGCAGGTGGAGACCCAGTTGTTGGCGAGGACCGCCGGTCAAAAGGCAGGAGGCAATAGCTCCGCGGCTTCTTTCGCTTCGCCACATAAGGAGCAGCGTCAAGGTAGGATATACATATATACATATATATATTTATATGGCTTTTCCCATTTTTTATGAATATATTGCGCGTTTTGTCTTGAAGCTGAAGAGCGAGTAAAGGACAAGCTGGCGCAGATTGCCCGCGAGAAGCTGAACGGAATGATTTCCCGTGAAAAACAGTTGCAGCTGGAGCGGAAGCGCAAGGCCATGGCCTTTCTAAATCAAATAAAAGGTGTGACTTCCTATTTATATAATCGCTGCTTTTACATAATTTAATAAATTTCCACAAGGTGAAGGTGCCACTGTGTCATCCACGGTACCCGGTGCTGTTGTGAATGCTTCAGAGCCTCCAACAAGGGCTTCCCGATCCACTGCCGCCGATAGTGACGAAGATTCTAATGAATCGGTCCGTTCTATACCCATCACTTACTTTGGACCGGACGATGATGACGAAGTGGGAGATCAGAAGCCCGAGGTGAGACCTGATAAAGAAGCGCATGGGGATGAAGAGGACGACGACGAAGAGGATGGTGGCGATCTGGAGAAGTACAATCTGCTGAATGATGATAGCACAAATACCTTCACCAGCAAACCCGTACTCCCTCCCGTGGTTCTTCCTCCTCCTGCCGTTCTTCTTTCGGACGACGACGACGTTCAGCTAGTGGCCACATCCTCCTCGCGATCCTCTGTTTCGCGCCACCGAAAAACCCACCGCCGGAGTCGCAGCCGAGATGGTAGGAGTAGTCCCAGTAGCGCTTCCAGTCGAGAATCCTCCCACCAAAGGCGGCAAAACAGAAGCAATTTTTCCAAGGGCTCAACGTCTATTCCGACCAGAAAAACTCAGCAGCAGATTACGCAGCGAAGAAAGAGCCCTAGAAAAAGGAGACGGAGCAAGAGTAGAAGCCGCTCTAGAAGTATCCGGCGGAGTAGAAGCAGAAGCATATCACGGACCAAGCGGCGAAGCCGTTCGCGGAGTTTCTCCAGCAGTCGAGATGCGGGACAGCGACGGCAGCAGCCACGACGACACACTCCCAACAAGAGGACACACAAGCGACATAAGCGACGCAGGCGAAGTAGCTCCCACTGATAATACCCCTGCTCACGTCGTCCACACCCACATTTCAAAGTTTTTTGTAGTTAACAAAGTGTATCAAATAAACCACCAACATATTTTTATAAACAAGTGGTGTGGTTACCTCAAAAAAGCGGGGAATCCTACAGAGCTGAGGATCCCCCACTGACCTTTTCACTCTCAATGTTGACTAGGGGATGTACACTATACAGGTTTTAAGTAGCTTATTGAAATGTAATGTCGAACTTCTAGAACTCGGATTGTCAACTATATATAAGTATATTAGTTATATGCACGTATTTTTGCACACTACATATTTTCAATTATAGTTATAGACATCGAGTTTGGGAAATTCGACTCAGAGATTATTATTATATATTTTAATAAGTTTTTTTGTTTTACCAGTGAATGTCCGGAGTTATCATATAGCAGATAAACACCGAATATGTCTGCAAGCTAAGTTGGTCTTAAGTTCCTGGGACATTATCATCGATCAAATATCATCCTCATAATCATATCATACCTTGCCCACTCGCTATAAAAAGCGGCTGGCAGTGAGCTCGTCGGTTTAGTTTGCTTTGACTGCTCCACAAGATTCAACGATGTTACTCCACTCGAAGTATTTACTACTATTCAGCTGCTGCTTCCTGGTTCTCACGGCCACCGCGCAGATTCCCATTAGTAAGTGCACACAATCTTTGGATCACTTCCTAATATATTTTGACATATCTAGCGCCCCGAGAGTGCGCGGAAAATGAAACTTTTCTGGCCTGTGGTCCCAGTTGCCAAACGGAGTGTGCCACGCTGGGAAAGCCCTGCCTGATCAACCACATTCGATGTCCCGATGGGTGCTACTGCAACAAGGGGTTCGCAAGGAATTCCGGGGGCAGGTGCATTCCTGTGGATAAATGCAACAAAGGCGGTTATGGAAAGTAGATCGGATGCCCACGTCTGAAATCTGCAAGCAGCTGAAATTCTGTGAATCGAATGACAATAAAATTCAATGGGATGTTGGCAGCATTGTTTATGGCAATGAATAAAACGAGTAGGCGGTATCTGGTTCAGCAATTAACATCTTTTTTCGTTCATGAGCTTTTATAATCGAAGCTTGCACTGGATTATTCATGAGAACTGTTTGTTTTAATCAAGAGAACGAGCTTTATCAAAGGGTAAGCTCAAGATTCTGGTTTCTGTTTTTAACTAAAAGCTTTCGCTTAAGCAGCCAGGAAAATATTGCAAAGCGTGCCGCTGCATACGGCTTTCAAGTGTTATCAGAGGTGATCAGAACAAGAGGGCTAATCAAGTTGGGATGAAGAAGAGAGTGGTAAGGTGTATAGATCACGTTTCGGGAATATTTAAATGTGACGCTTTCTCAAATTGTAGCTCTAAAGTGCGTTGTGACAAGTGTGTTGTTAACCTGTTAAAAGCACCGTTTCTTATGGGATTATGGAATGAATAGAAGGAGGAAGGAGGAATAGAAAAGAGGAAGCAAAACGCAGGCATTCAAGATATTCAAAACACAACTAATGGTAAGCTTTTACATTTTACTTACTTGCTACTAGCTAATAAGTTTGTTTATCGAACTACTGTGAAATGTGGAGTAAGAAAACACGGGCTATTAGCGGAGAATGAGAGCTTAAAGGGGAAGTCGGACTTGGGAAACAGCGGTAAACGGATAAAGAGGAAATATGATAGAAACTAGAGGACAGAGGGGGATATCAAAGAGCAGGATTCGCAAATCCCGTTACCTATTCCGCGTAACGGAATCGAGCGAACGATGACAAGCTGAATGCAAAATGTAAATGTTTGCCGTCAGCGAGTCGAAAATGTTGGCGGGCGTCCAAACCGAACGTTAATAAACTCCCCAAGAGGGAAAGGGAAGGTGCTATGGAAGACACAGTGCGGTGTGAGGGGTAGATGGCTGATCGATTTACATGAGCAAACATTTGGGTCCACTCCCACTTTGCCACCCACTTTTCCACTCTATTCGCCGTGCAATTTTGGCGACCGCGTGTGGAGAAAAAAGGGTAACAAATATACACTCTTACGACGTGTAGTTGCCTAGTTCACCACTAACGTGTGATCCTTCCAAAGATCATTATGTTTTTAAATGTGAATATGTAATTTAAGACTCTCTCAGTTAATTGTACCTTAAAATTATTCTGATTCTTGAGCTTGATAAGTGGTTAAACTTCTATTTCTCTGCCCTACATTCTCAGACCACAAGAGTTTATGTGTATAGCCTGTTTTTTGAGGGGATACGTGGGGTATAAAAAAAGGCTGGGTAGCGTTCGTTTGGTTTTGGATTTGCAATGCAAACATGTGAGTGAGCTCCTCCACCCCACCAATACCACTGAACCGCCTCTTTTGTTTGTCAAAGACGCTGAGATATATTCCTCAAATTCATTGAATTTCGCATCGGGGAAAAAGGGAAAGGGAAGTGGAAAAAGGAAGGGAACAAGGAGGTGAACACAGCTCCTGCTGTGCGGACCTGCGGAAATTCAAACGGAATCAAAGTGAAAAGTTCTGCAAAAAATCATCGACACACGCGGCGGTTGTATGGGGGGCTGGTGTGGGCATGTACCCTCGCATTCCTTTTTCATCTCCTGTGGCAGGACATCGGCAGAAGTAAGAATAACACAGCGACTGTCAGTCAAGCTTCGAGTGTTTGAAAGGATACCGGTATACCGGGATACCGGGGGGAGAAGTGAAGTGTGCGTGCGAAAAAAGAAAGAGTTTCTCTTTACCAATTCAGAGACCCCAGCACAAAAACACAAACCCAAACAAACACCAGGAAGGCAAAACAAACACACAGGAAACAGAGCACGAATAATTTGACTTTATCTAAGTTCCATTCAACCAATTCGGATCACAGACAAAAGGACTAGGAGGGATACCCTCTCAAACTCCTTTGGCTTTTTATTTATTGACTTATGCTGAGGCTTACAGATTTATCCTTCAGCGGGAAGTACCTTATCCTTTGTAGCCTTGCGGTTTACAATATTCTCAGTATAAAAAATCAGTTAGTAAGCAACACTTTTCATAAATACTTAAAATCGCAGCGCTGTAGTTTCTTTTTCTGTCTTTCTTAAAGAATTAATTTAATTTATTGGAAAAACCTTTCATCAAAAATCGAAATTTAAGCAGAAATAGTTTCTTGCAGCTTAATGTACCGCAAATAGTCTATCCTTGGATTTCCGCCCCACAAATTCCTTACTTTTAAGCCCCTCCTCCTTGGAAGCTTAAATGCTATTATATTTTGTTGCCCTTTTCGGATGCTGCGGTTGACAAAAGTTTTGTTTGCGGTTTGTTTTATTTATTGCATTTCTTTTGCCACTGTTTTGTTGCTTGTCTCCCACGAAGCACTTTCCCAACAAGTGGTGAGCGTGGTTCTGGGTGAGGCCTCTCTGTTAAGGCCCAAGAGCTGTGGCTCGTTGCCGATTAACCGAAAGTTCGCTGCACTTCCCATTTGCAGTAGTCTATAAACTCAATTTAATTGTGTGCTTGACAGCCCAGCCAAAAAACAGCGGTTTGGTCTTTCTTCTGGGGACTAAGTACTGCCAGTACTTACTTCGATATAGTACAAAAATCAGTATTTCGACCATAACTAAGTCGATAATGGTCCGTATATGAAAAGTAACATCTGAGCTGAGCTCGTAATTTCATTTCCATCAAAACTGCATTCAAACCTAAAAATGTAAAATTTTTGTAATTTTTCGCAGGTTTTGATGATGTTATCTTACCACAAAAAAAGAAAGTTCGCTTAATCCCAATTTTCATTTTGTCGATAACTCAGCCAAAAATGGACCGAATTTGGAATGCAATGCCTCGTTGAGTTTGTTTTTTACTTCTTGATCGATGTGCATTAAGACTACAGCATTGTGTCCATAACTGAGCCAATAATGGTCCGATTATGGAATACACCTTGTTGAATTTCCTTAAAAGGAAAGTTTGTTTTGATTGAAAGCTTCGTAAAACAGTCGTTCTTTGAGCTATACGTCTTAATTTGATAAAGTTAGACCTAAAAACCGCTTAAGGTAATGCGATTTATTAGTTGGAAAATGAAAGTATCTAGCCGAAGGTATCAGTAGCCCCCTGCCCCCTGTTCTGTTATTCAAATAACATTTCGCGTTTCATATCTTCCTGTAAATATTATATTCTGTGCTTAAAGTCTATCAATTTTAATTCGGAGTTGCCATCGGATTGGCCTGGTATTACCTATGGCTTAGATCCTGTCTGAGTGCTTCTAATTGCCAGGGCGGGGAGGCCATATGACTCGCAAATAGAGGCCTGCGCAGAGCAATATAATATCCACACTGGCATCCTCAACCTAATTATCGTGGGCTAAACGCATCACACACACATGACGGAACGGCAAAGCGGAAAAGGAAACGATGACAAAGCAATTGGCAAATGGATTCCATCCGAGCCCTGGCCCCGCCCTTCGGCCCCTCAATTTGTTGGCAGATGCAATTAGGAGGTCGCGAAACATCCGCTGTAGCTTTCCACCCACTTGTCGTAAACTATATATCCTTATTTATCGAATAACAGAAACCATCACAAGTGTCCTTGGAAGTGATTTGATTTCGGAGTCATCAAAGGGTTTAGCCAGCATAACATTGATTTGTCGGGTAAGTCTGTTCTGTCTGAAGTGATTACCTAAATGAATTCAATTTGTATGCATATTCTGGAGAAAGGAACTTTTCATAAACAACGGCCAATGTAAACCTAAATGTTTAATTAGGAGCACGGTTGTGAGTGTTTGGCAATTTATTGGATTATTAATTGCGAAACAAAGGGGAAATATCTACTCGCATAGCGACCACTCTACCTTGGACAAGTACAGAGAGTCTAGCTAATTGCAGCCAACTAATGCTGCCACGCCCCCTCTGCCGCAGACCGCCTCTCCATTAAGTGATGGTCCCTGGCACGCCCACGAGCGAAGCAGAAGGTGGCAATTAATTGTGCTAATTTTTTAGGAATCCCTGCCACGCGCTTCATTTCAATTTGCACTGAATTCTCCCCATTTTCGCCTTTTTGCTAACTTTTGCTCTGTTAGCTGCAATTTTCGGTATTATTTTTAACCGAAATTTCGCTGTGGCAGGCACCCTATGCTCGCCACGCCCCACTCGCTGGCCGCCCCCTTTCCGATGTTGTTTATTGCACTTGCAAGTTCCGCAACAAACGAAGATAAATTGTTACTTTCTTGCTCGCTCCTCTTGTTTCCAGCTGCCGTCGTTGTTTTTTGGCTGTTCGTGCTGCAAGTGTTTCTATTTATTTACCCCACATAGTAGGGGTGGTAGGTGGTGGTTCCTAAAAAAGCGTATTTAAATGCATTTTTCCTTTTTTTTGTTTCTGACTAACATTTCTGACTGAAAGACTGAAATCCCAAAAATTAATCGTGTATTAATTTGATTCGGCTAATACCACACAGCCTAGAGATAAGATGTAACAATCGGAACCAACCCGATAAGGCTTATCGTCTTGCCTTCGAGTATCAGATGGTTATCCCGATTTCTTACACACTTCTACTTGGAAATGAAATGGTGTAAGCCTAGACTTCTTGTAAAAGTCATCCACTTCGTCTATCAATAAATTTAGTTCTTTTTACTTTTACCTTATAGATTTATGCTTATGATTGCTTATTATTAAATATACAACACATTTAACTTTATTTTTGAACCTGTGAGGTACGAGTCTCGAATAGTTCTGGTCTTCCCCTGATAAGTTCTTAGAAAGTCTTTCTTGAAGTGCTTTTTAAATATCATTCGGAAAATGGTTTGGTCGTTGTTTACTGATTATCGAAAAACGAAATAGTCGAGAGATTGACTTACTGGACCGTCGTAATCTCAGACATTGACCCCTCCGTCACCCCTGGGCAACGGTAGATTGTGGGGTACATAAGCCCCAGAGATAAGAAACCCCGTCTACGAGTTCTAGCTCTCTGCGTTTTGAAGTCAGTCAACGCGAGAATGTCGAGGTGGTCGATCTGTACGCTGTTTGTGTTCCTGGCGGTCCACGCCGTTTCTGGATCCTTGGATTTCGATCCCTCACTCCTCGAGAACGTGAATGTGGACCAGCTGAAGTCCAACTACTTGCCTCCAGGCCTGCGAGACACCAATGCCACCCTGGCCGATTTCCAGAAATTACTGAAATCGAAGTGCCAAAAAGCCAATGATCATTTGCCAAAAGAATCGGTTAATGCCTCAGCCCTGAGCAAATCCATTGAAGAGGCAGCCCTGACCCTCGGAACTTGCCTCGGAGGCTTGGCAAATGTGACAGAGATCCAGGCCGAGATCGAGGAAGCCAGTCCCAAGGGCGACTTGGATATTGTCTTCGAGAAATATTGCCTGCGCATGCCGCAGGCCAAAGCTTGTTTGAAGAGCTTCAACGACGCCCTCTTACCCTGCTTGACCACAGATGAGAAGGCCCACAATGCGGTGCTGCAGGGGATTGCGGACAGGTTGCTGGAGTTCATTTGCTACAAGAATGGGGATCAGATTGCCCTCTTCATAGCGGAACAGGGTCCCGAGTGCCTGCAGCAGAGTCGCGATGGCATCGCCAACTGCCTGAACACCTCCTTTGCCGGATATCTGCCCAAGGAGTTCAGTTCGGAATGGAATTTACCCCAGTTGGTTCTTGGGTCCAAAGAGTGCGTCGACCTCTACGCGTTTGAGACGTGCACGGTTAGTCTTCTGGAGAAATGCGAAACGATCACCCCGAGCAACATTGTGGAGTCTATGTTCCGGTATGTGAGGAAGGAGTCCTCCTGCCAGCCCCATATCGACAGGGCAAAGCAGCAGCACCGGAGAGCACTGCCCGAGTCCCTCGAGTCCCCCAAGTCCGGATCTCAATCATCCTTGCAGCTCACCTGGACCACCGCAAGCCTGCTAATGGCCACTTTGCTAGCCAGACTGGCCTAGCTCCCCCCATTCACACTTTTTTTTGATATTTTATAATTATGTTTAATAAACTTTGCAAAGTCGGAAGCGGTGTCTCTGTAACGGATGCACTGTGACTGCCGCCCAGCGTAAGCCGCTTAACGGATTCCCTTTTCAACTCCGGGCGAGGGAAAATGGAAAATTGAAGGCGTGAGGCGGGAGGAGCGTTAAGGAGAGAGGTTTAAGGAAGCGGGGGCTCAAAGTGTTAAGCTGCATAAACACAAGCCTGAAATATGAACGCGGGCTGGGGTCATCCCAGGTACACTGCGATTATATTTCCCGTGTTTCGAATTTGTAACCTTCCGGATATTTTCGATTTTGTGAGCATATTCCTGTTGCTGATATTGCTGATAGGGTCGAATGTTATAGGGTTACGTATTCGTCACGTGTTTCTCTCAGTGCAGTCGCACCATATTGCGCTTATCGGACGGCACCAGCTACAAAAGCTAGAGCTAAAGCTGTAGCTGTAGCTGCCCAAACTGTAAAGTAGGGAACAACACAATCCGAATCTGGAGCAGAAGCAGAAGCTAGAGCAGCGCCGGTTGAAGGGTCACTCGAACGCTTCGCTTATCGCCAGAAACAAAGACAAAGGGATTGGAGAAGGGGAGGGTCGTGGAAAGGGGGGAGAGTGGGGGAAATGGCGATTCGGCTGAAGAAAGGAGACTACGACAGCTGCAGTGGGTGAGCCCAGTTTTGAGCGTGGCAACGAGATAAGCAAATTGATTTGCCACTTAGAAGTCGCAGCCAAATGCTGTCTTCTCTCCTAAGTTCTTCCTCGTTTTGCCTTTTTGTCTCTTTTTTACTTTTTTCTGCGAAGGCCTTGTCATTCTCGTAATTCATAAAAAACTGGAATGAATTTCAAGCCAAGTCCAGACTTTGAAATACCCTCGATTGCTAATCAAGTGAGTTTAGATTAAGTTCGAACCAGAGTTTTTTCTCGACAAGTGAAAAACTAACATTTAATGCATTAATTAGTATAGTTAACTATATCAGCGAGTAATATTGAACTGAGTAGTAGAGAGCTCCTCATTCGAATTTGGAATGCGTTGATCGGACAGCGAAAAATGAAACCGCGACTGTCATCATTTCACGGACGAGTGCAGCCCGTGGGCGGGGAAACAATCGTAGAAAACTGGAAAACAAGGGGCTTGTCCTTGGCATTCGTCCTTGCTCCTTTTTGGGGCCATTTCGGCGGTAGACGAAGCGTGAAATGAAATGGTCGGGGTTTCCTTGGCTCAGTTCAGTCACCTTCCTCTCTTTCTCTTCCTACTTCGAAAGTACTGGACATAATTTAAGCCAACTGCTTGACGTATTTATTAAACGGGACCTGAAAAATATACCTGAAACTTATTATTGGAATAATACCGGAATCGAATTCGTTTTCCTCGGAATGAAATTCTTTCTGGCACTAAATTAACACTTAACCCATTTCAACCACGACTGCCGACTCCCGACTGCCGACTGCCGATTGCCGTTAGCCTCGACTAGTTAGTGTGCCAAAAGTCTTTGGCTAACAAGTCATAAATGTTGCAAACATAATTAGGAGTGCAGTTCTCGAAGTCGAAGTTGCGACCACGCCTCCACGACGTCCCCCTTCCGCCCGTTCGCAGTCCATTATTGATGTGAAAAATGCGGAAAATGAATGCGTTTCCGGTACTTTTCGCAAGTTGGCAGCTAAATTGCAACGGCCATGAATCATTCCAGACATTCGCCACTGCCATTTTCCAGCATTTCTCACATTCGGCGATTCGCAAGGAGCAGACAAACTTTGTACGTGCCACGCGAACTATTTGCAAAAACAGGGGCAAGGGTTGACCAGGGGTTAAGAGCTTTGCAAACTTGGCTGGCAAATAATTGCACGTCATTGGCGAAATTATTGGCCCCTCTCCTTGGCTGAAAGTAAATTCAGGGGGTGTCATGTGGGAAATCCTCATTACCGATGCCACATTAAATGCACTTCCAATCAACCTTGCATTTATTGGAGTTCATAAGACTCGGGCCCAACCAGTTTCATTAACGATATCGGCCTTTCAGATTCAAGCTGGATGAACCTTTCCTAACAGTCTGCTCAGATTAAAAGCTGTATTAAGCTGGCTATAAGCAATGATCCACTTTTAAAACTAACTTAAATAGTAAATAATTGCCTGTAGCTAGATAGGTCCTCTCAGTCCTTATAACTGAGAGCCTTTAGTTTAATGTGCAAGTCACTAGGCCGTTTCGCTACCGATTTCCCAATTTGAAGGATGATTTCTTTGATCCTAGATCATATTAGATGATGACTAGAGAATGATGGCAATTTAACCCTTGAAAAAGTTTTCCTTCTTGATGATTTCTTAAACCGTAACTGCCCTTTTAAGCAAACTTTTCTCCTTTTCCATATCTTTAAAGTTTCTTGTAGTTTTGAGTTCACACTCAAACAAGAATCAGGAGGGGGAAAACGGGCCGAGAATGAGAAGAAGTAGCTGCACTTTGTCAAATTTAATTAAATATTTCAATTTTGGCACAGGAAAGCTGCCGCAGCCATTGCCGCAACTATCTCTAATTGTGCACGCGTTTTCCGGCACCAAACCCTTTTTCTGAGGAGAACCGGGCGACAGGTGAGTTTTCACCTGAGGCGTCTGTGGCTGTTGGTTTCCCACGCTTCAACGCTCATTTGCAAATGTTTGGCTACGTGGTTCGGTGTGAAAAGCGCGCCGAATCGAAAGGAGAATCGTGGGGGTGGAGGCAATGGTTGGAGTGAAAACGCAGACATGGGGCCCATAGGGAAATTGCAGCAAATGCAACAGCCGACTGATTGAGAATGCATCTTTGTTTAGGAGGTTAACAGAGGGTTCAAAAGGAGTTAAAAGGGGTTAAAAGGGGTTAACTAGGCGTAGGCATATATGCAGAGGCTCTACTGCCTTTGGGCTAATGGAAGCTTTAGTAACAGAGTTTAATCGATAAATGCAACTTCATTTGCAGATAAGATTGATTTTTCATTTCATTGGAATCAATATCTTCGAGTGAATATCTGAATCCACCAACTCTGATCCCTCAGATCTCTGGAATTACACTTATTTTGGAATAAACTAACTATTCCGACAGCTGGCTCATGGTGCACGGAGGCACATTTACTTAACATTAGGTTCAAGGAGTGCGGTTTGATGATAGTAGGGGTACCCTTTGTGTTTTGAATTCAATTTGGGCAAATGAATGAGCCGGTAGAAGAATCTATTTCCGACCCTTCTCCTGCCACATTCCCTGACACTTTCATCAGATTTGCCAAGGGGCTGTTTGTCCTAGGTAGCCTCTAAGTTTCACCCCTCTTTGGAGCCTTGCCACCCCCGTTTACCCCTTCAAGCTTTCCACTTTATGTTTGCAACACTCCAAGTGCGCTTTGTCTCCTAGCCCCTTGACATTCACCTTTCCTCTCTCTCCTCTGTCCTCCGCCCTCTGTGTTCGTGTGCGTTTATGTTGGTTTTACTCACGATTGTCTGTGTGCCAATGCGTGTGCGTGCGTGTTCGAGTGTGCGTGTGTGTGTGGACAGGGAAGGGGATGGTTTCCGCAGGGGAATTCCGGGGAATATTTGGCATCCACAAGTACGTATACTTTGGGGTCTAATTTGCGGTTGCTGGCGCAGCTCAATTTACAAGTGAGAAATTAAGATGTTGCCGAAAACTTTTCTCACTGGCAGAAAGGGGAAAGGTGGGCATAGAGGTAGAGATTTGGAGAAAGCGACCGGGAGGAGCAGGTAAACTGTCAAGTTTCAGCGCGCCACAAAGTCTGAAATGTTAGTGGCATCGTAATCAATTCACTTTTCACTTTTTCCACCTTTTTCATACTTTTCTCACCTGTCCCTTAAGATCCTCCAAATGCTCTTTTAATTGCCCCAAGTTGCAGGCAATAAATCAGGAAATTTTCTGTAACTTTATGTGGAGAAATCGAATGAAGGAAATCGCTATTGGAGATCTCCCTTTATAGGCATCGATTCTCCGTTTTTTTATTATGAACATTATTTCTGATGGACTATAACCATATCAACATCTTATTCAGATCTCATGATTTTCGGTTTCAAATCAATAGAAGTGTATTGTGTCCGGAATTCGTTAAATGATATCCTGCAAATGGAAGGCTTTTTTGACGGATGTTCCACTACAATTAGGAGTTCTCATTGAGATGTCCTTAAAAACTCAGCGAACAAGTTGTCCCCTCGTAGTGCGATACATTGCTCTTCGTCGCCTAACTAGCCTGATGTAAATTTGATTAAAACTGCACATTAAATCCGCTGACAGCTGTCGGAAGTCGTCGAGGGTTTCGTTTGGAGGGAGCAGGGTGCAGGGTGCAGGGAGAAGGGAAGAGGGACAGCGGACAAAACCGCTGATGACATTAAAGTCACCCTTGTGCGGTTGTCTAAAAATTATGCAAAGACACTTGGCGTCAAAGGGGGGCAGCGGGGGTCTGCGGCTGTCGCCACACACGCTGCGTCAGCGATTTTCGTTTAAAATTGCGAAAACTGTAAACATTCTGGTGTTTCCGTAGCAGCATTTTCCAGGGTGCAAGCAGGATATGATGGGGTATCGACATCGAGTACCCTTATGGTTTTCACTTCACTATATCTTATTTGTATAATTAGAACAATTAATTTATGAAACCTTACGCTGTGAAGAAGATCTGAATCCCATTTAAATCTGAGGTAGGGTATGTCCCAATCCGTATCGTGTCTGATTCGTTCTTGCTTGCCTTTTTATCACTGCTCGTTTGGCTTCATCCACCATTTAAAGTGACAATCACGTGGTCACCATGGCAGCTACTGGCCCTATTCACCTCTTCTTGCTTACCTCGGGAAATTGTTTAGTACGTCGCTCTCTAGACTCGACGGCTTTTCGTCTGGCAAAGTCCTTGGAGTCCTGGAGTCGCACTTCCCCTGCCTCTTCCAGAAAGCCCTTATGCACAGCCGCTGTAGTCATCTGCTTAGGGGTTCTCCTTTCTCTGAATCGTGGTTCCGTGTGGTCTGAGGATCTCGATCTTACCTTGAGTTTTTTCCAAGTTCTTCTTCGGTTTTGATATTTAGAAGAGAAATGTCGTTGAAGTAAAAGGATATAACATAGTGTTTAGTATTAGG